TTTCACCTAGATATTAATATATATATATATATATATTAGATTTATCTTTTGAACTCTAATCGTTCATGTCTCTTCTTTAAATGAAGGTTAATTTCTTTATAAAATTATGAATTCTAAATATTGTATAGATATTATATATTTGATATATATTTTGATTTCACCTATATAATCAGTAATTTTTCCCTTTTCTTCTCTTGAGATTGGAGTAAAAATTGAATCATGAAATGAAAATTAGTATTTACTAAAGTTTTCTAACTAAATAGTTAATTAGTATTATACTTAAAGAAAAATAAAGAAAAATAGAGAAAAATATAAAAAAAATTTAATTTTAATTTTAACTTTTTAAAAGTTGAGTTCACTCGACCTAATCTGAAACTCGTGTAGGTGGGTCATGAATCTACCCCTTTAACTTGACACCCGAAATGATCCAATCCAAAAAACACGAGATCCGAGATGACTCAATCCGAACCCATCCAATCCAACCTGTTTGGCAGATCTATTTATATATCTAAAAATGGTGGAGAACTTTGAGAAAATTATATATTTGAATTTTTAAAAAATTTATTTAAAAACTATTGTAAATGATAATTTTAATATTTATCAAATAAATTTTTAAATTTATGATTGAAGAATTCATTTTTAAAATAAATAATTTTTTATTATAAAATAAGGAATACTTGAATATGATGAAATAAGAATACGTGTAAAAATAAGATAAGAAGATGGAAGAAAGTTTGCTTTCTATTCTTCCATTTACTCTTCAATTTTAGTTACAATATGTTTTTTATACAATGCATGTCTACATACAAGCTAAGAAGAACGTACCTTACATAAATTTAATGGATGAATTTAATTAGATTTATGAATAAAATTTAATTAGAACATTGAATAAAACTAAATAATTTAAAAAATATGATAGTTTCATGAATATACTAATTTATAAATGTGGTAGTTTTATAAATATGATTAATGAAACTCTAAATAAATCAAGTGAATATGAAAGATAGAAGTTGATAGGGAAGATGTGTAAAATGAAACGCCCCCTTCATTCTGTATAATCCATAATAAGATTTGTGAAATTAGAGAGATGCTCGGCAAATTTCAATGACACTAATTAACATGTTGCAAA